ATAGACGAGACAGGTGAAGCAGCTTGACAATATTACTCCTGCAACCACCAGATCAGAAGCAACTTAATCAGTAGGTCATTTTGTTATGTAAATGGCAGTTGGCATGTAATTAAAGGGTTAAGTTGTGTATGCTCTGAACATTTTGATAAACTTATATTACAATATGTATATTATTGTATTTTCTTAATATAAGTTCAAATATTTTGCTATTATTTGTCAAAAGTTGTATTTTAAAGTCAATGTAGTATCTCTGACTCGTATCCGGGTCGGGTACGGGTTGGGGGTGTTACATGCATTCTGCTTCCGCTGGTTGTGAGCCAACAAGGCTGCAGTAATCTCCTCAACGTTGATAGTCTCTTTCCCATATGTAAGAGTAGTCACCATGTGTTCGTAAGAGGGAGGCAATGAACACAACAAAATCATCGCTCTGTCTTCATCCTCAATTTTTACATCAAGCCGAGCCAAATCAGAAACGATTTGATTGAAGACATTCACGTGTTGCGCCAAATCATGATCGTCCTGCATCTTCAACCCATACAGCCGCTGCTTTAGATACATTTTTGTCGTTAAGGATTTGGACATAAACTGACTTTCCAACTTCCTCCAAATTCGTCTGGACGATAGATGCAGTGATACATAACCTTGTCCGCCAAGCATAATCGTATGGTTCCTGCCGCTCGTTGTTGCAATTCTTCCCAATCTTCCTCCTCCATCGATGCCGGCTTTGTAGGTCGCAAAGCCTTCAGGATCCCCTGCTGCGCCAACAGATCCTTCACCCTCGTTTGCCATAATCTGAAGTTACCCAAACCATCGAATTTCGCGACTTCGAATTTTGCTCCTGACATCTGATACCAATTGTTGATAAATCGGGCAAAGTAAACGAAAGAACACAATAATTTTAACGAGGTTCGGCAATGTGCTTACATCCCCGGTCCTCTTTACCGGTATATTTATGAGCCATACCTTACAATTACTCGTTTAACAGCTGCAGGACATGAACGTCAATTAATTAAAAAAAATTATAGCGTTTATTTGCAGGAGAAGCTGTGCTCTTGGCATATACGATTGGATAGGTTTGATCTAGTCCTGAACAGAAAATACAAACAAAAACGAAAAGGTCAATGGATTTTTGTGCAAGTTTTGAGGAAATTCAAACTTGTTGCCGTGGGGACCTAAACATTCCTCCTAAGCAACTGAACCAAAGCCCTGGATATTCCATTCTGAATCTGATACGGCAGTAGGGCTACAGTTTGAGCATTGATTAATATTAAAGTAGTTGTCCACCTTATAAGATACGAGTTCGAGTAATTACGTTTACAGGGTATATACGTTATTAATGATTAAGAACAATTATGAATAAACATTATCTTCTAATCATCACGTACTAATAAAAAAGTAGTTGAACTATGAAATAAATCTGATAGAGTTTGGGGACGTTGAGATGTATTTTTCACAAAAATATATTGAATGTATGGTGAAGAGTATGTCTTAGCTAGTTTGGGAAGATCTTTTATATATATATATATATATATTTGCTTGGCTGCTGAAAGAAAGAAAAAGAAAGGTGATTACGGTTTGGTCCATATAACTTTTGTTTGAATGAAAAATGAAAAAAAAGGGCAGATTACTGAGCAGGTGGCGTAAGCCGAAAGGTAAGTCCGACGAAACGTAAGCCCCATGCCATCTTAGTCATACTATCGGCTACTCTATTATCCTCATGGGGGTATAGTCCATTTAACTTTCATGGATCATAATTTCTTCCTTGTACATTTATATTCTCATTATTATTTAGTTTAAATAATTAACTACTTTGATTATAAGGCTCGCAAGGATTTTTCTTGAACGATCCCTTCCAACTCAATGTTTTTGAAAATATATACTTCAAGGTTTTAATAACTAATGGTGCTAACCATTTGACTATCCAAGGATATGATAAAAGCAAGGAGATTAAATTATATTAAATTAAAGTAAAAATATTAAATCATAATAGAGATACCTAAATTATAATTTGAAAAAGAAATATAAATACAAGCATTGCTTTCTAGACATAACGGAGGGACCAAAGTCAAATTTTGACCAAATAAATAAATAATGGCTTGTTTAATAAATTATTTAAAAAATTTCTTTGAAAAGGAAAACTTTTAATATTTAACTTTTAATTGTGTTTCATAACCACATTAAACTTTTACATATTATAAAATTTTCAAATAGAAAAATGATGATTACAATATCGTTTAATGTTGAAAATATTGTGTTGATCCTTATTTTTTTTTAAAAAAAGTAAATTACAAATTTGGTAACTAAATTTTTGTTCTCTCTTATTCCACTCACTGTATTTTAAATCTTTTCAATTTCCTCATTGAAATTAATACATTGGGTTTTTTTGTTCACTCGGTCATTTTCTTACTAACGTCGTTATAAATGAGTTGTTATATGGATGAAAAACGACGTCGTTTTAACGTCGTTAACTATTTAACGGCGGAGTGATAAAAAAAACCCAATGTATTAAGTTAGTGAGAAAATTGAAAACTTTTGAAGTTCAGAAAGTAAAATAGAAGAGAGATAATAAAGTTCGTGATGAAATTTGTAATTTACTGACAACACGTCATTTTCACTGTCAAATAAATTTATCATTAATATCATTAAAAATAAATATAATAGTATAGAAAGAGTAAGGGTCGATCCACAAGGACTAATTAAGATACTGAAATGATTGTTCTTGATCTCTGATCTAGGCGAAAAAATGCAAGTAAAGTAAAAAGGGGGTTTGTTGAGAAATTGAATAAGCAAATAATGATTGAAAGGAAGATAAAGAATCAAAGAAAGTAAAATTAAAAACCAATATGATGAAATTAGTCTCAGGCATTAGCGTGCCTCAAATTCCAATCGATCATTGAATAGGATTTTTCCTCCAGTTAAATGTCGGTTTGAGTCCGTAAGGTTCAATCCTTGTAGATCATTTTTCTCTTTGGTGATTGACTTTCCCAAATCTCCTTGTTCGGATTAACTTCGACTATCATTGTTAACTCAAAACAGTTTTAAAGCGCTTGGAAAACCCCAACTCAAATTATGCTTCCTCTATGAAAGTCAAACTCGATCCCAATTTCCCTTAGCATACCATTAAGTGTGTTCAAGGGAATTCGAATCAATTGATTCTATAATCCCAACGGTAAACCATAACGTCATCCAAGCCAAAATCTATTTTTGAAGTGAAGGCTTTTTGATTTTAAAAAAGACTATCCGCCAATCTAGTTTCCAGAAAATTGAGAATTTAACCCGGGAGGGTATGAGGTGATTTTTTATTCTCACGATGCAAAATCGAGTCATCGCTTTAGCCTTTGGCTATGGAAAACTTAGCTAAGTATGATAAACATCATACTTAGCATTTTTGAAAAGAAAACTTTTAAAGAAAAATAAAAGAAAAAGTAAAACTTTATCAAACTAAAGAAAGAAACAGTAGAATTCTAGAGTAAATGATCCCAATGATGAATTGAGACTTACTCTAATGGGGCATTTATAGTCCTCAAAAAACCCTAAAAGATTACATTCAAACTAAAAGATAATTATGAAATATAAATTCCTAAAATTAAAAATAAATCCTAACTTAAATTTGAAAAATGTGGTTGAATCTCTTGTTCCACATAATATGTTGACTGGACACCACATCAGCGAAGTCATGTCATTAATCCAGTCATGATTCCAGAAAATAAAAAATTGCACATTTCATCAGTTTTAGTAACATTTTTGGAATCTACTCTCCTACATTGAAAATGAACGAAAATGACCACATTAGCAACTTAAAATAGCTAATCAATAAGTAATTAATCACAAAATAGTGCATAATTTAAGCACTAATCATTTACCCTTAAAAATGTATGTGAAATAAATTATGCTTTTAATAAAAAATGAGGCATTCAAATTATTACATTTAACCTATTGAACAATTTGATATGAATCAAATGTCTATATTATTCAGACTCTTCCTTATCCATAAATAAAAGAATAATGAGTGCTCGAATGTACATGATCTCACATTTTTTATGTATTGTACCAATGAAAATATTATCAAGCTAAACTCAATCAACATTTAACTTTATCTTAAACTAACAATAAAAAAAATGAATCATATTTGTGTTGGTTGTATTGGTAACTAAATATGAAGAGAGAGCTGTCTTAGTATGTTGCAAGGTATTTAACATGTCAGCAAGTTAAGACCAAGCATCAATGATTACTTTGATTGATCAATATTTCTCAATGAAAATGATCAAAGTGAACATAATGCAATTTAGGTGATTCTAGACCAATTAATGAATCTCTTTATTTTTTGCAATTGTGGATAGACCTTATCTTATAGAGATTGATTATATTGTAAATTGATGAGATATTATAGTTTTATAGTGCGATTGGTTCGATCATTTATGCCGGTGTTTGTAGTTCCTCTTATCCTTCTCACATACCTTTTTCTATTTGGCCGATCAACGACAATATAATTTATCGAATGATCAAAATATAATTTTTGAAAACTACCAAAATAAGTTTCAATGACAAACGAGTATAGTTCATCCTATCATAATTTAGGTGAATTTTGAAGTCCAACTATTTTGAATCGGAATGGCTTGCAATTCAGGTTTAGTTTCTCCAATTCTCCTTTTGCTAATCGTGAAATGGTGTCCTTTATTTTGTGTTCCGACTCATAACACAATGAATTACCAATATCCACTTGTTTCAGGAATGTCGGTACCCATCTGAATTTAGATTTGTCGATAAATTACCCATAAATAATCATCACACTCCATTAATGTCCATTAATAATTTTGTTTTAGCAGCTCCTCAATGACAGGTTTGATTGGTTGGTGTTGAATATATAAAATGTTCATGGCACACAAATATTTAAGATTAATTAAAGGGGTGAATGCTGAGAAGCATGGGGGTGTAAACGTCCATTTTTTCCATTACGAATTCATTTTCAACAAAATTCAAAGTTTATCATCCCAAAACCGTAGCTTACAGCACAGTAACCCCCGGCCCAAAAACGGCTGGCTTCAGCCTTGCACTACTCACACTATAAAATACCTCTATTTTCACCTAAAAATCCAATTTTCATATTCCTAATAACAATATTTTCTTTCTTAAACCTATAAATATCCCATCAAACTACTCTTTCCCCTGCACTAAACTCTTTCTTCAAGTCCTAGCCTTTGACTACAGAGGATTAATTCAAAGTAGAATCAATATGTCCATTCCTGAGGTAACCGAATCTCACGGCTGATTACTTGCTTTTGTCTAAACTTGTTTTGCTTAGCAAAGTCATTCCCACGACTTCTAAACCTCGATCCACCACCTACAATAATCATGAACCAAATAAACTCACAAACTAGAATAAACCTCGATCCACCACCTACAATAATCATGAACCAAATAAACTCACAAACTAGAATATCAAATCAGATTTGCTCAGGAAGTTCTTTTTACCGCTACCAGTAGCGACACTCGCGTTTAACCCAGACAGAAGATGGGGCTGAGTGTTAATCTCATCAAGATTCAAGTTCAAGGCCTGAACCACTCGAGCTGGAACCAGAACAGGACAAACTGCTAAACACGAAGGAGAAAATCAGATTATAGGAAGCATCAAAAGATAGCAATCACCAATGTTTTTAAACTACAGTTACGGACCTTGCTTCTTGCGGGGTCCAGCAGTACCAGAACGACGAGGCAAGAAAACACCGGTTCCAGCACATTCCCTTTTGGCGGTCGGGTTGCCCAAGAAAACAGCCCCCACACCTGCCCCATTTCGAGGCTGGGGTTGCAGCAAAGGAGCCCATGCAAGAGGGAACACAGCGGTAGGTCTATTAGTACCATTACCGCCCCTGACACTGTTTTGAAGGACCGCATGTTGCTGATGGCGCTGCTTCTTTCCTCCCCAAACTTGTACGTTATGTTGTCGTTTCATTAGCTGGGTTTGGTCCACTTGCTGAAACTAGGGGGAATAAACAGCCAAATTAAAAGCCTCTAGGGAAAAACAATCAGAAAAAAACAAATTTTAACTGTGTTCATAAGGTTTTTACTTGAGTGGCCCGCGATGAAAGAGACTGGTGAAGGTTTGGCGAGGGCTTTTCGGCTGGTGGTCCTAAAAGGCCTTTGTTAATGAACCCACCGTTTGATTCTTCATTCACTGGTACCCTCGCTGCTATCTCTGCAGCCGAACAAAGCAGAGTCCATGTTCCCGGCGGCGATGAAATTCGAGAATGGTTGTTTGAGCTAAACTCACACAGGGTCGATTCGGGAGAACTGGACAAGACCCAATCCTAAAAAATCGTAAAAAAACGTGAATAAAAAATAATCATCGATTCAAAAACTTACAAGAGAGTCAGGTGTTTAATTATAAACAGACCTTGGAGATCTTAGAGGAAAACGCAGGGTGGTTGCCGCCAAAATCATCTTGAAGAGTATAGCGAGCCATTTGACGAGTTAACCCAACGAGGAAATGTTCTTCGTCACTGTCTGTCTCGGTAGAACCCAGCACGGACTCAACCGGAGAACTTAGATCCGACGGTAAGTCGTAGGGAAACAAAGAGTCGTGACTGTTATTAATTTTACTCTTCTCCATAAACAAGTCATCGTCGGCTAAAAACCGAGGCGGAAGCCAAAACTCACCATCGTCTAAAACCTCCGCCATGAGCAAAGGAAAAAAAAGGAACCCAAAGACGAGAAGCAACGAAGAAGCTAGAAAACGAAGAGAAAAAGTGAGCTGCACCAGAAAAACACTGATACTCAATTCTCAACAAAATAAAGCCTAAAACCCCCAGTGTTTAAATATGGAAGTAACTCTGACAACCAAAAAGAGATTTTGCATCGTGGCGCTTCGAAAAGGCAAAATTAGATTTTGCTTATTTTTGAAATTACTATAACGTGGCGTTGGATTTATTTTAATTTTATAAATTATTACAAATTTTCAACTTTATTTAAGCCGAATGAATATATAATAATAGCTTTTTTTAATAAATGTTGTTTAAACATAATATACAAATCATAAAAGAATTTAAGGTTTTATACAATAATTTACTTTTTATTCTTTTAATGGTGATTTATATGGGTAAATTCATATTTTCATATAGTGTGATTAAGTGAAATAGAATAAATTATAAAATGTGACTAGGTGAAATGGAACAGATAATTACTATAATCAATGCACATACACCACAAACAATATACAACGTACCTCGCTTCGTGTCCTTTATTTATATATATAAACTTCATTTAAAGTTAAATAGGAAGGGTTTATAAGCTGAGTTTACCAATGTGATTAATATATATTATTTTTGTCCAAATTCAATTATATTTATAAATAATTAATTCAAATTCATTTTTAGTTTTAGTTTTAGTTTTTATGTATTTTTATTTTTAAAAATATTTATTTTATTTTTAAAATTTTATATTATTTTAAACATGAGTAGCTTAATATATTTTTAATATTTATATTAAAATATCACATACTATTAGAAATTTAATTCTCATGTGATATAAATTATATAATATATAAAAAATAATACTATAACTTAAAGAATAAAAATAATAATGTAAGAGGCAAGCCTTAAATGTTAGAATCTAAACTTGATTAGTTCATCTCAAATAAAAATCTAAACTTGACACATATTTTAAAACGGAAAAATATTTTATTTAGTTTTATTTTATAAGCCAAAAATTTTATTTTAAATTTTGATTGAATTTTCAAACTTAAATAGATAATTAAATTATTAAATAGATTTAAGTAAAATGGTTTGAAATATATTAGGCGGTTGGTTTGGGTCACCTATAGTATTCAGCCAAAGACTGAAATGGATTTGTAGTGAAAATTTATACGAACAAAAAATAAGTCTAAATTTAAATTTTGAAAGATAACATAATAAAATTGAGAATAATCATCTGAATTAAATTTTTAAAATTCTGAATTTTAAATTAAATAGTTGAACTTAGAAAAATCAAAATTTACTTAAAATATGGGTTGAAAAATTAATATCGGCGTAATTTGGTTGTGACCTAGCCTTGAGAAGAACGCCCGTAATGCCGAAATTCTCGGTTGAAGTGGACATGTCGGCGTGCCAGACATGGAGTCGTTTTCTTCCCACAAATCCCGTTCCATTTTATGATCAAATTCCCAACCAAATAATTTAGTTTTCACTTGAAAAACGTTTTATATTATTAATTCAACATATACTTTATCTTATAGAATTTAAAAATCTAGTAGATAAATAAAAGGTAAAGTATAAAAATATGTTTTCATCCGATTATTAAAAGTTATAAAAATATTTTTCAATTATAAGGTGATAATTTATTGAGTTATTGATTATTAAAAATTGCAAAATAATCATTCGATTATTTATATGTTCTAAATTAGTTATTTTATATTAAATATTTGACGACAGTCTAAGCTGAACGATAACATACTAATTAGAATATGATAGTCGTTTGAGAGTGTATGATCAAATTTTATCATATCTCAGTCAGCAGGTTAACATACAACTCAGACTGTCGTCAAATTTTTAATGAAAATAATGAGTTTAGAATACATGAATAATCGAGTGACAATTTTGTAATTTTTAATAATTGAAACTTGATAAAACTATAATCTAATATCATATTATAACTTTTAATAATAAGAATATTCAACAAAATAACATCCAATAATTAAATAACATTTATATACTTTACCAATCAGGATCCTCCCAAATCCTGTCTAGTCTTGTCACTGAATTAAAGTATTGTGTATAAGAGTTTTTTGTTCCTCTATCAGTACATTTTATTTCATCATTCACCTTATTTATATAAAAAAAAAACTCACAATTTTTAAAAACTATTTGAACCCAAACAAATCTCAATTTTACTGATAACAAATATGTAGCACCTCCAATTAGCTTTGGTCATTTCTCGTTGAAAACGTTACTTTTAAGCAATGGTTATGGAGAAATAAATTAAAGCGACTCTTCACTTTGGCTAAAGCACGTGCATCCTTTTAGTTATTCTTCTATTACGACTTTTATTATATCTTTTTTTTATTATTATTTCCCAATTTCTTTGAAATCTACCATGCGAAGTTGCAAACCCTATCAAAACATCCACAAATATTCAATTTCTTCCTCTTTTTTTTGTAACAAAATGAAAATGATTTGGACCAGCCAAACAAAATCTAATTCATGATTCGGTGGAGCCAAGCCAAATTTTTGACCTTGCCTTGTGTGTGTGTATGGTAGTGCTTTTATTCAAAACATGGTTGCCAGTAGGTAACTGGGACATCAAAGATTTATGTTTTTTTATTACATAAGCTTGTTAAATAAAAGATTAAATTGGTGTTTTTTTTTGTTTTTGACAAATTTGCAGACGTACACGGTGTACATTAATTTCAAATTAAATAAATTAGACACGAACTATGATTCTCGAATGGTTTGCACTCAACAGCACTTTATGGTCGTTATTTATTAAAATAACAATGTGTGAAAGCAACTAAACTTTTTTTTTAAATAATGGCACAGTTGATTAATCAACAAGAAATATGTATGCACATGAGAAATTATTAGTCCTATAAAAATGAGGCGTGCACATTTTATCATTTCATAATAGAGACGTAGCACTAGTAGCTAACATGTTTTCGTATACTTTTCATAAGGTGTATCGCTGTGAAACCCTAGATGATTCGTGTCATTTCTTCCTTTTCGGTAAGTATTCCCAAAACGCTAGTGCCACATATTATTTGGGCAAGTTAGATTTTGCATTAATAAAATTATTATTTGTTAATAGGTTCAAATATATTTTATGTTTTTATATCTTTCCATATTTGAATTTTAGTTTGTTTTTTATCTATAAAATTTTAGTTTCTATTTTTTTATATTTATAAAATTAAGTTTAGTGATTAACATTGTTAACATTTTATTATTATTATTGACGTTGTTATATTTAAATTAATTTTTACAAAATACATGATGTTCAAAAGAAATTAAAAAAACAGAATGCATTGATTTGTAATGGTTTAATTTTTTTAATGAAATCTATCTTAATTCGATTTCATTTTTACAATCTTTGACATGAATTTAAATATATATATATATATATTGAACCTATTAGATCGTATTAAAATCCGTCAAATCCAAGTTAAATTATCATCTCTATCTATATTCACTGCTTAGCTTACCACAACTAATAATTTTCTTAAATTCACTAATTTAAATATGAACATTCGAGGACAATGTTGAAACTTAGAACCTTAAAATTTTCTACTCAAATCTTAAGATAATGAAACTTAAAATCTATATCAAAATCTTAAGCTCAATTTTCTCTCCAAAAAAAACAAATTTATAAAACAAAGAGTATCCTTTTAAGATTAAAGAGTTTGCACATTTAAGCTCAATCCAAATTAACTCTTAAGCAAATGTAATAATAAAGGCTTGCAAATGTTTTTATAAGAGAAAATAATACTTTGAAGCTCAAATATTAATGCTTTGATCCCTAAATGTTGGTTTGTTTTTTTTATCGATGTCCTTTCACTTATTCTTGATTCCTTTTATGTCCTTTAATATTTTTTTAGTCGTTTGAAGACTTTGAAAAAGATTTATAGTTATTGGAAGCATTAAAATAGAGCATTAAATGTCCACCTGCAACTTTAGATTCAAGAAATACGGTCGATAAGGGATTTTTAGCATTTTCGATAAGAGTATAATTCTTTTTTTAGGGTATATATATTCATAGGGTCTTGTTAGTATTCAGTTTGTAACTATGTCAATACTGTTATTCTTTTGTATTAGTTTGGGTTACAATTTATGGTACGGAGCTTTGATTTTTTTTTTTTATAAATGATTCATCATGCTTTTTTAAATATTTTTGTTTGTTGAAGATGTTTTAAAACGGGGATGTTGGTTAAAAAATTAAGGTCAGAGTCTAGATCGCTTAGATGGCTCAATACGACATCCTAAACCCATCATTTGATACAAGTCGAGTTTAGGGTATTGTAATAACAAATATCTTTGATTTCCGCTAGTTAAACGATCAAATTATTTTTCTCTTAATTTAAGAGTCAATTAGATTAAAATAAGTCCATAGGACACTATTTTTCTTTCAAAATTTTGAGGACCCATATATCTTTAAACTAAATATAATTTAGTTCTTAATTTTAAAATATTTTAATTAAGATATGATAATATTAATATTTTCTTGATAAGATTATTTCACCAGTTCAACTAATAAATGTTCTACGCATATTTACATAGATTGAATCTTATGTATAAAATCAAAGAAATAAATAATCCTCTAAATTTTAAAGATATATACTTTTTACCAGATTAGATTTAGACTATTCATGTAACATGTATACATGTTTTCAAAATTTGGTCAATATATTTCTGATAAGAGCAAATAGGATTTTCATGAACCATATTTTTACGTGAAACTATGGCGTTTGTTTTTTATTAGGCCTATGATTTGGCAGGACATCTCTTTATAAAGGGCCAATTAGGCCTCATTCGTATTTAGTTAAGTAGGCCCAACTCTGACTCATTGAAGGCTGAAGCTCGACCACAAGCAGGCCTGAGGAGCATGCTTAAAGGTTAAGGATTAGCATTCTCTACTTTTTACATGCACACTCTTAACTATCATCGGGTTGTATCTATGCCAACGAGACTCAGAGACGGCCCTGGGCCATGGCAGGAGGGGCACCCGCCCAGGGCCCACAAAATAATTTTTTTTTTATTTTTTCTGATAATAAATTTAAAGATTGTAA